TACATTCACGTGTATTTTTTTCACAATGTGAAACGACACATGATAATTGGTTCTCAACTTAGTTATAGATCTTATTTGATTCACATATGAATTGATTGTATAAAGAAATATAGTCGAAGGTATATGATGACATGCTTTTTTGCACGCATGTCATCATAGATCTACATACATTCAAACCCCATAAATTATCTTGAGTAATTAAACATCAACCAAAAAATAAACCATCTTAACTTATCAAATACATACATACATACATGCATATACATTCAAGATCTATATGTATATATAACAAATGCAACAAACAAACTCACACACCCTTCTCATCTTTGATGATGTTTGAACCACATGACCTCCTAGAAGGCCAAAGACTACGATACCGCTAGGCCAAAGGCCATTTGGCTACATATACGTATATTAATGGTAGTATCATACGAAGAAAAAAACATAAATATAAAAAATAAAAGTAGAAAAAAGAGATGGCTTTATAGGTGGAAATGTAATGGTAGGGTTTCCAACTCATATAGTAGCTTTGGATGCTATCTAATAAGCATGCTATAAAGCTAGAAAATGAAGGGGAGCGTCTCCTTCCATTTTTTTTTCTTGTCTCATCTCTTTTTTCTATCACTTATTTTGCCTTTTCAATTTCTTTCCTTTTTGTATTAAATTCGATATTCACGCACAGATTTTATTCTTTTTAATCATTCGGGTATCGGTTAAAGTCTTGCGTAGCATTCGGTATTGTCTAAGTTACTGATAACTGATGGGTTATAACATGAGCAGAAGATGTCGAAGCGTGATGCCTTGATATATAGTATGGTTAGTATAAAGACAAAGGGGCTGTTTGGCAATTGTTGAATGGTTTGGTGCAGAATGATTAAGTGGTCAAAAATGATTAAAAGGCTCTCATGATATAGTGCAAAATGAAATATAATTGTTTGGTAATTGTGTACAATGAAATTAGGGCTCTTAATGGTTAAGGGAGATACATGATACAAAATCATTCTGAGGGTTTTAGAACCTTTAAGAGGCAGACTTTTTTTTTGTCAAACAAGATTTACCTCTTAACGATTCAGGGGTTGCCTCTTAATGGAACTATTAAGAGGTAAACAAACAACCCCAAAGTCGGAGACGTATTTTGATGTGAATTGTCTCTTTTGTCCTTCTTTCGGATGAAGAAGTTTTAGGGTGGAAAGGAAAATATGTTATTATATTAGGGTTTCATTTGAAACTTACTAGAACGTTGACAAAAATCAGTTTTTTAAATGGTTCAACTGTTTGTATAGAATTTGAGTGATTGTTATGAAATATGACTGGTTGGTCGTAGACAGTAGTGATTGTGTTGGTCCATGTATAGATGGATGCACATGGGAACATGGTATTATATGCATTTTTTAGTTTGTGTATGATCAGCAATAATCCAATGGCTAGATAAGTATATAGATCGTGAATATTACTCCAACATACGGATTTCTTGATCGGAAACCCTTATGGTCTCGATGGATACATATCTTTCGAAATATCGTTCTAACCGAAGGAATTCTAAATACCACACGGTCCACGTATAACAGTTTAACAACACGCAATTCGACCAATCGCCTTTTAAATGAGTTTTGGGATGATATAAATCCTTAATGGTGGTATGAAGGAAGACCATTTCAAAATCAATAAGCCCAAATGCAATATACCCTTTATGGGCTTAACAGTGAATATGGAGTTGGGCTGAGGCTCATATATGAGCCCATATTGGGCCCACATGCACCCACCCACCAAGGTTTGGGTTTGTATTATATTATTCTAGGTATCCGTTAATATACATTGTAAACGTGAGATAACAAGTTGGATAACACGTTAAAACAGGTCGAGTTTGATAGATCTGTTGACATTTTCTATAATATCAACATGTATCAGGGTCAAGACAAGATTTGTGTTCTCAAAACGAACAGGGGAGGACTGATTTATGTCTGAGAAGGTCGGTCATGTGCACTTACTTAACGGAATTTCACAAAGTAAAAGAAATTGGTATGAAAGGTACACTTACTAAACTTTGAACAGTACTCCAAAATATTATTAAATACAAGAAACATCAACCATAAAACTGAAAGCAACCCTCAAAAATCAACCAAAAAAACTTAAAAAATTCCCTCGAAATCAACCACAAAACTTTAAAGAATCCCTTGAAATGGTAGAATTCAACAAAAACCACGTCGAACGATTTCATGGATCTTTGATCCACTCTAAAAATGCACCCGCTCTAACAAATATTCTTAGGTCTATCACTGTTGACGGATTTGATTGATCTGTTAACATTTTCTTAGGAAAATAGATTTGTTGGAAGCCAAACAGCATAGTTTTCCTTTTATATTTTACGATGGAAGCTGCAAATGTGACTCAAACTTGTGACCTTTTGGCTGTGCACAGAATCGAATCAAATCTCATCTATAAGTAGTCAATCGGGTTCGAGGTGTACATACTTCGAGGTTGTATGGTTTGCGAAATCCGAAGAAATCCGTTGGAATAGGAACGACGATTCTTTTAACCAAGTTCTTTGGCCCTGTTTGGTTGACGAATTGAATAGATTAGATTCCACATAATTCCGTTGTTAAGGATTTAATCATCCAATTCCATAAGTCAAGGAATTGAATACCAATTTAAAAATATATATATATATATATATATAATTTGATTTAAAATAAACTTTTGAATTTAATTTAACCAACACTGTCACGAGTCCACCATCCCCCATTGTCATCGGGCCATCACTAGCAATTGACATTACTATTAACACCACCACGAAATAGCAACATACTTTTATAAAATTTCTTATTCATAGTATTGTATTTTCAGTTTTTTTTTTTATTACAACAATGCATTTTCAAATTATTTTTTATTAGGGCATCGTGCTTTGAAAAATTTACCTGTTGTAACATTGGATAATCTTTTGATTTAAATTTACTCATTATATAAGATTTTCATGTCACATCACTGTCCACGTAAGTTGTCCACATTACAATACTGCTAACGTGACATTGTTTTTATTACAACATTGTACTTTCAAAATTATTTTTTATAACATCACCAACTTCTATTACAACATTATACTTTTAGTTTTAATATTTTATTATTGTACATTTAATCAAACATGTTTACCTAAATTTAGTATCCGTTCCTAATCCTAAATTTCAGATTTTGTCATTTTATTGTCAACATATGAAATTTTGCGTATCTGACATCTTTTTTTACAACATTATATTTTGAAAAAAAATTCATATTATTTAAGAAATACATTAAATAAATTATAAAGTTTCTAAAATCTTCATTAATATGCTAATTAAAAATAATATATCATATTTATTTAAAAAATATTTTACTCTAGATCATTTAATTTACATACAATTTAATTAGAAAAAGTTAAAAATTTTGAAACTTTTTTTTAAATTGTCACAAGAAAAAGTGAAAATCATTAAAAATAATTTAAAAGAAATTTTTAATTTTTATTTTGGTCATGTCATCAAAATGATTTGTCATTCATATTACCTCATTTAAGCCAAATAAGCAAAAGAAAAGTAAGTGGTTAACCGGTTCAAAAGGTAACAAGTTACTCGTTGCTATAATAGGTAGATCTTTCAACGTACGATGACCAAATAAAAAATAATTTAAAAGTACATTGTTGTAATAAGTAAAAAATGAAAGTTCAATGTTATGATAAGTAAATTTATTAAAAGTAAGTTGTTATTTTATGCATTTAACCTTTTACGATTTAAGCAAGCGAGCACAAAAATATCATAAAAAGATATTTTGGTCATTTACCCTTATAATCAAAACCTTATTCAATTCCTTCAAATTCTGATCCAACACAATATCTTGTAAATGCCTCAAGAACTAAATAAGGATTTCTTAAATCATATTGCATAATTGGCTTTAAGATATGTGAGCAGCGTTTCACCAGTATGAGTCAACATTATATTTACCATACGAGTAAGACTATAATCTACCAAAACGATATCGTATGCAACAATTTTTACCTGGTAAGCAAGCACTTACTGGGTAAGAGTCATCATCACCTTCACTAACTAGGAGTGTTCAAAAAACCCGGAAAACCAAGAAACTGAGCCGAATCATTTGAACTAAAATCGGAAAAACCGATAACTGAAAAAACCGGGTATTCATGGGTCGGTTTTGGTTTTGAATTTTAGGTATCCACGGGTACCCAAACCGAATAGATATGATGTATTTATAATATTTAATATTAAATATTTATTTACTTATTAACCTGAAGTTAAATGAGAAAATCTTTTACGTTTTGCTGTCAAACATTACGGTAAATGACTAACTTTGACGGTACAAAGTCTTGAAGGAGTCAACGTTAACCGAATAAATTGATGTTTGTAAACAATTAAACTTATTTTAATTTATAACACTTTGATTATTTTTATTTACTTCTTTTTTTGTAAGAGTGTCCGGGCCAAACATGGCCCCACTTAAATGTCGCCAACACTTCCCTCCCAGGGCTCGAACTCGGGTTCATGACTATGTCATGGCCAAACCTTTACCACTAGGCTGGAAGGTCTTTGATTATTTTTATTTACTTGTTGTGTAGTTGTTTTAAATGTTATATTTTGGTACCATTTTTATATCGTAAATGATATTTCATATAAACTCGAGTAACAGTGAGCCGAACCGCGGGTAACCGCCTTATATCGGTTCGGTTCGGTCAACCTCTACGTATCTAGGTATCCGCCTCTTACAGTTCGGTTCACATTTTCTTTACGACGGTGAACACCCATCATTAACCGGGTAAGACTCTTCATCCTTACTACCGCTCTTACGATACCTGGTAAGAGTCTTGGCCCTTACCATGTTCATCCAGTAAGGTAAGCGCTTACTGGATATGCATTTAGTAAACGGCCTCTTAAGCATAATTAAGCCTACATTACTATATCACCAAGAATACCTTAATCTGCTTTATTCGAACTACCATTTTCATCAAATTTCTGTAATTATCAACCTCAAGAACCTGCTTCTGATTATTCATAGCATTTCAAAGCATTCAGATCACTTAGAAGTTGCAGGATCAAGACCAGAAATGCAGAAATCAGTCTCACATAATATTAGACCGAATATTATATCGACAACGGGTATGGTGAAAAAAAACATGATAAGCAATTTATGGAAGTCTAAAACTTTGGTCAATTGACACATATCGAAATGATCATCGTTTCGTACCTTGAAGGCTCGGTGTTCATTGACCAGCTCCGCGAGTTTGCAACCTCCTCCTTTCGAGCTCGAGCTGAACAAAGAACCGAAAAAAGAAAAAACAAATCATTAATATTTCCTTCCAACATCAGGGACGGGGTCGGGGATGGGGAGGGACGGGAATGAGGGACCGGGGATGGGGATAGAGGTCCCTGCCCCATTCCCATACCAAGTCAAACGAAAGGGTTCGTAGGCTCAAAATGGTTAATCAAGTGGATTTTTGTTTCTTCAGAAGTGCATACATTGGGGACAATCCATGGTCTAAAGTGTACCCGGATTACCGGAGGTCAACTGGTCGAAGGGTTCAAACTTGGTGAGAAGTGTGTGTGAGTATTTGTTGTATATAAATATTATATATATATATATATATATATATATATATACTTCAATAAACAAAATTTTGAACATTTGAACCATCAGGAAGGGATTCATTATCTTACCACTTTCCTCACTCGCTCATTGGCAGCAGGAGTTCCTCCGGTAACGGATTCAGCAAGATATGGACTGCTAACACGAACTTCATTCATCACGACTATTGCAGTCTTGTCCCAACGAACGGGTAGCCTGATTTACGGTACCCATGATGAAACCAATAATTAGAGCAGGGTACGATAGGAAAATCTTCCAAAAAGAAATTAACAGTTTCATCTCACGGCATCAAAATAGACAATTTATAATTGAACTCGGTTTGATAGCTAAAGAAATGTAAATGCGGCATACAAGGCCTTTAAAAGGTTTTCTTATCTCCCTTTCACACATATTTCACTAGCCGGAGGTTGTCACAGAAACACCCATTCTACTCTTTAGGGTAGACGATAGGTTTGAGTACATCTTCCCCCCCCCCCCCAAAAAAAAAGACACCACATCCGGGTGGGATATACTTGACTCATTTGGTTTGGTTAGTATAGGAGAATCTGAGGCAACATTGTTGACGTGTTTAGGACATCTTCAACGGGGGCCTTTAAATGCAAGGTTAGAACATGAAACTTATACCAAAAAGAACGTTAGGATAGGTAATGGTCAACCAACAATGACACCTGAAAAGCGGTAAAGCAATTACATGATTGAGGTATACCAGAAAAAAAAAAGATTTCCTCGTATAATAGAATGAGAAAGGACGTCATTCATGTCCAAAAACGGTAGGCGTTTTTACTTTTTATGTTTGCTATTGGATTTCACCTTTGTATGATAGCCTCTGATTTTCAATTTTGGCCTACCAAACTCTATGGGGATAGAAGGTCTAATGTTGTAAGAGCCGGGCACTAGCATTATTTTAGACCTCCGATACATGTTTATTTGTATGGAGCTGATAGAAATTGATGAATTGGAAAACAGGACTCGAAACAGAAAAGGTGGCTAAAAACAGTATGATGTTTTTTTAGAACTAGCCATGGCTGTTTTTCCCAGCACAAGACAACTTGGAAGCTGTTTGGTTGGTTTTTTATCAAGTCCTGTATGGATAAAGTTGTCTGTGCGGATTAATCTGTGTATAGATTGGGAAGGTTTTGTTTGGGAGGGTTTTTTCATAGATGGAAGGAGCATGTGCTTTTAATTGGAAGGGGCAGGTTTGGAAAAAACTTGGCTTTCTGCATAAAGCTCTCCTTAGAATCTTACTGAATAAACCACTTTTGATATCATTAAGTCACTACTAACAGTCAGGTATAGCTGACAGAATAAGCTGTGAGTCCCAATAAGCTCATTAAGCTGCTAAACCTAGAAGCCTGATAAGTGTACTTTGGGGGATTCTTTAGCTCGTTATTTAGTATGAATCAGTGAAATTACAGATACCATAAAAATTATTCAACAGGCTCTTTATAGAAGGAATTCCAGGAGGGTTCCTATGAAAATTTATAAATCTCAAATCCGCCACTTTGATAGAGTAGAAGATAATGTATGGAATGAGTTTGACTATCGATTACCGATTCACAGTAAATAACCCTCTCCGAATTTTGAGTTGTTGAAGCAAGAACTTTATACGAGAGTCGAAAGCATAAGAAATGGGAAATCATGAAGATGATGGACCTCGTCTGAAACGGGAAAAAGAACTACCCACAGAAACATTTTAGGAAGTTCAGATCCTCCATTGTGAGTGTGATCACTTTAGAGCTAATCTAGAGGGAAAACTGTTACCATATGTTTTAGGAAGTTTAAATACTCCATTGTCTTAACCGCTAATCTAGTGGGAGGCTCTCTTTTTTTGTGCAAACTAAAGACTTCTTTTTGGAGCACGTTTTAAACGGAAGAGATGTAAACGTATAGTTTCCTACTCCATGTCCACTCCACTCACACTAAAAGCCTAAATACGTAACGTTTCTAAATGTTTATACCATAAATTAAACGATATCAACTCCAATACCATTATGCCCACCAGCCATTATCACATTTATGAAACAGGTCATAAGATTCTTGATCAATTGCATAAGGTATATTTAAAGCATGCTTGTTAGCAGCTAAATGAGCTAAATAGGACTCACAGATTATTCAATCAGCTATACATGATTGTCTGGCAATAGCTTAATGATATAGAATGTGGCTTATTCAGTAAGCTTCTAGGGGGAGCTTTATGCAGAAAGCCAGGTTTTTTTTTTCCAAATCTGCCCCTCTCAATGAAAAACACTCTCCTTCCATCTATGAAAAAACCTTACCAGTCTATAAGGACAGATTAATCCGCAAAGACAACTTTATCCATACAGGACTTAATGGAAAACCAACCAAACAGCCCCTTAGGCTCATCATAAGTGTTGGCTGTTTTCTCCCCTTAAGATAACAATACGCTACATGGATACATGGCTCGAGTTCCATATACAAGTCAAAATGTAGGATATCATTCGGATCTTAATTAGCAATTAATGAGAACTAAACATAAAAACACCTTTTTCAGTATATATTAAGAGCATTAAAGATCAAAAACTATATCATACATGCTTTTCTAGGCTCTAGATTGTGATTAAAAGCACGAATTGAACAGGGGAAAGAGCGAGATACACATAATCAAGAGAGAAGATAAAGGAAAGGCATACGTTTTTGACAAAGCATCAAAAATGCTCTGAGCCTCAGCAGTAACACCAACTCCAATCCTTTCAACATCTATCTCTGCTTGTCTGCAATAATACAATCAAAATATAGCAATCTCAATTTCCCAAACAGAAACAATTGGCAAACCCCAGGGCTCAAAAGAGTGATCACATTTCACAAATACAAGGCAAGTACTTGAAGTTCAAATAGAACACCCATCTCAATTTTCCAACAGAACTTAATAAAAACAATTTAGCAGGCACAGCAACAAAAAGACCCACGTAGATTTCTTCAAATGTTCATTTAAACAAATTCACAAACATGGGAGATGCACTTCAGGAGAGAAATTAAAGAAGAAAAAAACCCACCATACAAAGAGCAACACTTTGATTTTGAATGTCAAACGAGTTAATTTTATACTTCAAAACTGATATCCATTTAATTTTGTACCAACTTCACGTTTAATCTGCAAGTGAATCCGCACCCGTTTCGAGTTTGAAACATTCTACTTTCCAAAAACAGAATCAAACTGTACGCAATGCAAAAAAGAAGACCAAATTCACTGAAAAATATAATCAAACACATGGCGGGCATTCCACAATCAAGTCGATTCACTAACCTCACAGCGGCTTCCTCTTTCGATTGGAGCGAATTAAGATCAAGATAACATTTCTTGAGATCAAGTGGATCATCAGATTGACCCAAAAAGGAAAACTCTTTGATGTAATTAGCTTTGAGGAACCTAATGCTGCGGCGTGATTGTGGGTTTGATTTCAAACCTTCTTGGAGGACGACAATGTTAGAAGGGCGATCGTAGGTTATGACTTGACCTTCAAATTCGTCTCCAAGAGTAGTTTTTATAGATAGCAAACATCCAACTGCGAATTCATCTCCTCCACTGCTTCCATCCATCGCCATCTCGCCGCCCTGAAAAGTGGAAAACTGCAAACTGAGGTTTTCTTTTTTCGTTTGCTTAAGATTTAACAAGAAGATTCATTATTTCCCAATGGTCCCTAAACTATTTTTATGTTTCACTTTTGTCCCACTTTTAAATTTATGTTACAGAGGAGATCCTTTGGTCAATATTTGTTTTGAAAATAAAGGGATATAATAAGCTTAATGAAACTCACAAAATATACTGATAGAATCTCTATAAAGAAAGAAAGTCGCACAAAAAGAGAATACTACTTGGAATTCGGTGGGAATCCACGCTTAATCGGTCAGCTATGCATGAAAATTAGCCACGGTTACATAAATTATTTTCTCAAACATTTTATTAGTTTCAAGTGTAAAAAGATGGTCTAACAAAAACATATTAGTCTCACATGATCCCAAGTCCTCTATATGTATATATATAGAGAAGAAATCAAATGCAAATCAAGTCACTTGTACAAACCATGGGTTGGGTTGATCAAGTTGAAGGCATTTGAACAACTCAACCAAATATTTGTCGTTTGAAAATTCTCAAAGCAACCAACCCAAACCATACAGGTTTGTTAGGTTGATACTTTTGTACATCAAAATATAATTCTAACCTTGAATATGTTGTTTTCTTTATTCATAATTTCTTTTTCATCATCAGCATTTGATAATGATATAGTTTATTCATACTACCCTTAAATCTTAGATATATCACATTCAACTATTTTTCTCAATTTTCATATATATGTTCATATTTATCAAACATATATATGAAATAGTTACATAGATATGGAGAATAAAATGAAAATATATGTATATGAAAAGGGTACGTAATGGTGTAATTGTCTAATAAATAACAGAGACTTAATAATCATATTACATCCAATGAATAACAGAGATTTAATAATCATATTACATCCAATGAATAAAAAGAATATCAGATTCATCGTGTCTATATATATATATATATATATTCGTGTATATATATATCCTAGTTGTGTACCCGCGCAATGCAGCGGGAGCCATGAGTTTTAACGATTTTGAAGTTCCACTGGTTTTATAAGATAAGATTTAACGATGATATATGTTACACTTGGTCTTTACATATTAATACAATTTGAATAAATAAGAGTTATGCTTCCAATTACAGACTATCGATGAAAAAAATTGCATGACAGTTTAAAATCCAATATATTTAAAATCCAACATATTTAAACGATTCCACAAATGTATTCGATTTACACCAAGAGCAAAAAACCAAGAAACTTGAGTTTTAAGATAAACACTCAAAACCAATAAAGAAAACTACAATTTTGACAGATCATAAGCTATGAAAAGACAAAAAAAGATGGTTTTTATAATGAAATTTCAACTGTTTACCATTTTTCTTGTCAAGAAACTCATATTAAGGTTGAATTAATACATGTATATATATTCCAAAAAAAACCCAAGAACATATTAATACAAAACATATTATACAGTGCAATTTGGATAACCTAACTCCAAAATATATAATATATATATATATATATATATAAATAAAAAACTATAAAAGTATAAATCGTAAATATTAAAAATATTTTTTCACAATATATATAAAATATATAATAATATAATTAAGTCAAAAACTATTCAATATTGGACTCATTTCGAAGATATTAACGAGACGATTATGATGGTGTAACTTGTTAAAATGAAAATGTATTTTTTAAACATGTTTTAATTGATATACGATTATGTATGTTAATTTGATAAAAGTTTAAAATGAAACATTTAAAAGTAAAAGATGTAAAGTAAATTAATTAATTAATTATAGGGGTATAAAGTGTAAATTTAAAATTATAATTTAAAAAAAAATGAGGGTGAGTGTATGTGAGGAGAGAGGGGGTGAAAAAGTGAAAAAAGTGAGTATAAAGGGTATTTTGGTCATTTAAAATTTTAAGACTTTAAGACTTTTGCTAAATTTGCTTAATAAGATAGTATAGATATATATATATATATATATATATATTATATAGGCAGGTTCAAATGATAACACTAACTATTTAAGAAAACATAAAAAGTCATTGTACAAAATCGTACATGATTCACAGCGACTTTTCCCACAACTTAGCCGCAGCAAAAGTCGTCCGCTTCCATTTTTTTTATGTTAATATATCAACAACTTTTTTCTTATTTTCTTACCTAGTTAGCGTGTTCGTTTGAACTTTTACATCCCCCCCTCTCTCTCTCTCTCTATATATATATACATATATATATATATATATGTAAGAGAGGTATATTTTACAAACCAAGTCATTTATACGTGAAAATCATTGATTTTATTGTTATTTTAGTGAATATTTTTCATTAAATTGTTTAATATGATGAAACTGTTTCAAATAATTTATTTCAAATGATTATAGTGGTCCAGATATAGTTATTTTTTCATTGCATTTTGTTTTATTTCAACCAAATTACAAATCAATTATTTGAACTTCGGCTACCATGGCGACAAGTTTTGTGTTTAAATAGATGTATAAAATCAGTAATAAATGAGAATAAAAATAAGGGACGATGTTTATCTTTATATAGTATAATGGAGCCATTATCCTCAAACCAAATTTTTATTCCATGTTAAACTATAAGGATGATAATTATTCTCATTTAACATGTACCGTCATATCGGGGTGTTTTATCATTTCATGAAGAAACCCTTTACGATTTCATTAGTCTGATTAGGGCTGTAAACGAACCGAACGTTCAACGAACTGTTCGTGAACCGTTCGGCAGGAAGTTTGTTTATGTTCGTTTATTTAATAAATGAACGAACATTAACAAATTTTTTTGTTCGTTTAGTTAAACGAACGAACATGAACAAGAGTCTCGTTCGTTCATTTATGTTCATGAACGTTCGTTCATTTACCGTTCGTTTATATATTGAATTTAACATATAATCTTTTATTTATTTACTTTGAATTCCAATAATATTTATTTATGTTCGTTTAACCCGTTCGTCTATGTTCGTTTAGTCCGTTCGTTTATGTTCGTTCGTTTACGTTCGTTTAGCATGTTAACGAACGAACACAAACACACCTTATTTCTAAACGAACGAACACGAACACAGAGATTTTCGTTCGTTTACCGTTCGTGTTCGTTCGCTTATTCGGTTAAGTTAAAACAAACGAACACGAACAAGCCTCCTTTCGTGTTCGTTCGGTTCGTTTACAACCCTAAGTCTGATCATCTCTCTTTTGTTAACAAGGTTTTGGGGTTATTTGTTTAACTCTTAATAGTTCTATTAAGAGCAGTATCTGAATCGTTAAGAACTGAATTTTGTTTGGCAAAAAAATCTGTCTCTTAATAGTTCCATTCAGCGCCCTAATTTCGTTGTAAATAATTACCAAACAATTATATTTCATTTTKCATTATATCATGAGAGTCTCTTAATCATTATGCACCAAACCATTTAACAATTTTCAAACAGTACCTTACATATTTAGGAATACCAAAACAAAACCATCCATGTGTATACAAATTATTAAGATATAAGAGTCCCGATAGGAATTGCAAAACACTTTTAAGCCCATGAATGAGTTGAATTTTTAATCCAACGGCTAAAACACATGGATCATCAATTAATGGCCTTCATCTTCACTTTTATCTTTTATTTCCAGTTATTTTCACGAGCTTTTACATACTTTCTATTACTTTCACGTGTATGAATTTGTTAAAGTTTCAGTCATGATGATAAAAATAAGTAAATAGAAGTACAAGGTAGACAAAGGTTTGGTTCTCACGTTCTCACCAAAGACATTCATTCTCATATCTATATAGGGGAAAGTTCAATAGCGAACATAACTTCCACTGTGAACAGAGGACAACGCACCATGTGTACGAGAAATTCACATGATATTCATCATCAATGATGTATCATCCATTAAAAAATTCACCTTTATTATTCATGATGAATAAAGACAAATGGGGACAACTAAGTGTCGTGCTCTCATTTATCCCTTAGGTCACAATGAAAGTTAAGTTCACAACTGAATTTTCCTCTCTCCCAGTGTATGTGTGTAAACATATCATATGGAACTTTCTTTTAAGAACTTTTTAAATCGTGAAATCTTTGAAAACCAGTGCATCATGTGCTATCTCATACGAGTTTTTTCATCTATGGCTAGAATTTAATGTAAGGATTTAATTATATATTTGTTTCACACGTACTTGGTTTACTGTGTGAACCTTTTTAGCGTGTTTGTGAAACAAAAAATACACGTAAAAAAGTTTTACATTGTGAAAAAGAATACATATGAAACAGACACATTGTGAAACAAAAATATATGTTAATTAATACATAAACTATTATACTTAAATGAAAATAAAATCATGTGAAACAAACCTTAAAATAGAAGTTCTCAAATGATTAAGCTCATGTAGAGAGAGGGAGTCAGATTCGGGGGAAAATCGTAAGAAAATGAAAAACAGATGAACACCTTAGTGACCATTCACCTGTACGATATGCAGATGTGCATAAAGTACTTTGTAAGTTATGCACACTTGCAGAGAAACCTGGAAACATCAGAATTATCTGTATGCACGTGTGCATACTATACTACACAGTTATGAGGATGTTCCTCAGTTTTTCATATAGATATGATTAGGTCATAAAACTGTAATCTCTTGTTAGTTGAAAACTTATGATCAATGGTCAGGATGTTATAAGGCCAACTCAAAGTTCTTCCCTACCTGAATCACTAAACCTCAGAAGATAAATGGAACAAATAAGCAGGTGTAAAGACTTGGAAGAAAATTATAGACTCAAAACTTATATAAAAGATAAAGCCAAAACTTGACTAGAAACTTAATTGGCATCAAAGACTCATCCAAATGCCAGAAAATGCTGACCAAATCCTAAACCCGAAACCGGGAAAAAAAAACTAAAAACTGTACATGTTCATGTTGCTGTACCTCAAAAACCCGTGTCGAAAGTAACGTGAAACCGGGCCGGATTACTACTAGGTTTAGGATCAGAAGCGTTAGCTAGCCCGGCAAGCAATCTAACGACATCTACAGTATCGTCAAGATAATACCTGGCTTTGCTCGGTTTGCGTCCGACTGTACAAGCAAATATCTCGGCACTTGAAACCGTGTTCATGATGCTTTCAAACATGTCTTCATCTGATCGATCGTCACCAATGCACGTCACGAAGTCGAGAGGTTCTCCATTTTCAGTCATTGTAGAAAGAACCTTTTCTGCTACTAATCCTTTGCTTACACCCTGCCAAATGGTTTGCACAATTGAGACATTTTACCATCGGTCTAGTGTGTTTGGTATCCAGACATGACAGAACAGAATAAGACAAACATCTATTCAACATTTGGGAAGACAGAATCAGACAGAACATAACAAAATAAAATGACCAATTTACCCCTAATGCGTTGTTTATATATTGTGATTAACTTACGTAGTTTATTAAATTATAATAAAATAAATACTTTTTCTAATAAAAATATATCATTAGGAAGTTTTAGTCAAAATAATTAAAATGACCCCAAAATAAAAAGTTTATGTGGTTTCCAATTTCTATTATACACTTTTTTCATATTATTTTTATTATTAATATTTAATAAATTACATAAATTAATCAAAATATAGAAACCGTATAAAACAATGTTTTGAGGACAGTAAAATGAAAGTTTAATGAGCATAAAATACGATAAATAAAATTTAAAGAATAAATAAAACGTAAAAAGGAGGTATATGTGATGTTATTAGAAGAAAATTATGTTTTATTTTTAGGTTATATTGGTAAAATATAGGTCTGTTCCACCTTGTTCCATTGGGTGAGGGTGGAACACACCTGTTCCACTTTGTTTCACATAAAAATCCGGTCAAACGTGGTACAATGATCCCTGTTTTGTTATATTATGTCCACTGTACCAACCGCACCCTAAATGATGGCCTTTATATGACCCCGAATATGTCTAAGGGTTTGCTTGTTTAATGAGCTTAATGGGAGTCATAACCTATTCGGTTAGTTATACATGATTGTTTGATAGTGGCTTAATGATATAGAAATTGACTTATTCAATAAGCTTCTAGGGGAACTTTATGTGGAAAGCCAAGTTTTTTCCAAACATGTCCTCCCAATTAAAAAACACTCATTCCATCTATGCAAAATCCTCCACACAAAAACCTCCCAATCCATACAGTCATATTTATTCACACAATCAGCTTTATCCATACATGGCTCAACAAAAACCAACCAAACAACCCCTAATTGTCCTAATAAACTGCTTTATTTATAAGACCAAACAATTGTGTGTCATATGTAAAATTGTTGCAATAAGTTGATAAACACGTTTTTGGACGTCCTAACAAGTTTTTTAGGACACTTTTGATATAAAGAGTCCTATTAGCTTCTTTTGGAGGGCACTTTTGAGATTTGTCCTATAAAACACATTTTTAGGACATTTGTTTTCCACAACGCACTTTTTTCAAATATTGTCATATAAAAACACCGATAAAAACCTTTATTTTAGAAGTACCCTAAATACTTGTTAGGATGACCAAAAAACGACCGATCAACTTATGACATTTTTACATAGGACGCACAATTGCTTGGTCTCTAAAGCGGTTTATTTGGACATTAAACATATTTGGTATTATATAACAACAATGATGATACCTGAGGTTTGACTTCAACTATGTGTCGGCCTCGTTTAACGACTGCTGGTTCATTGGCAAGCACATTTTCTAAATGAACCAACAACTCCTTAGCTTGACAAGAACCAAAGTCGGGGTCGGCGTCTTGATGATGCCACACGAGACCACTTTCTTTGATCTCGATCGTAGAACCATCAGTCGCCTCTCTATAAAGTTCCATCACAGGTTTTGCAATTTCCTTCCACTCGAGCTCCATAGGTACAAGATCGGGCTGCCAATCCGAAGTTCTACTCCACCTGCAACATAAGATCAAATAGCATTACAAACACACATACACAAAAAAAAATGCTCGGGAAAGTTCAAATGAGAACCATAAATATTTTGAGAACCTATATATCAACTATATCATGAATTATTCATGGTGAATAACCTGAAGTGTTCATGAATATCATGATATTCATCATGAATAGTTGGTTCCACTTTCCCAAGGGATGCTCGGAAGTTCAAAAGAGTACCATAAATGGTTTGAGAACCTAAGTACCAACTATATCATGAATTATTCATGATGAAAAACCTGAAATGTTCATGAATATCATGATATTCATCATGAATAGTTGGTTCCAATTCCCAAAAGATTTATGGTTCTCATTTGAACCTGGCTTTAGGGATGGATGCTCGGGAAAGTTCAAAAGAAAACCATAAATATTTTGAGAACCTTAAGTACCAACTTTCATGAATATCATAATTAATAACCTGAAATATTCATGGATATCATGATATTCATCATGAATAGTTGGTTCAAGTTTCCTAAAAGGTTTATGGTTCTCATTTGAACCTAGCCTTAGGGACGCCAGGGAAAGTTCAAATGAGAACCATAAATATTTTGAGATATTTCACGAATTATTCATGATGAATAAGCCTAAAATATTCATGGAATCATGATTTTCATTATTGATGATACTCCGGGAAGAGTTGGTTCCAGTTCTCCAAAAGATTCACGAAAGCGATGTTGGTTCAAACACGACGTTTTTAATACCTTATGAAATACCCATGTTCAGCAGCTACACCTAGCCGTGCACACGGGGCAAGCCACTCGCTCAATGAACCTTTCCCTCTTCCGCTAACAATAAACACCGTATTTTTCGGGTCGTCACACAAAGTATTCAAAATCGTGATGAGTTCCGGGCTGGGAGTTTTGACGATAGACGAATGAGGAACAAGGGTCCCATCATAATCCAGAAATATCGCCCGTCTGTTTGACCGTCTATATGCCGAGACGATACAGTCAGGAGACAGTTTTCTGAAACCCGGAGACAAAGAAACAACTCTAAATCCCAAACCGAAACCGATACCCCAACAACGCTTGTTATAATGATCTTTCGATGCTCGTTCTAGATCTTGCATAAAGCTACGAGCCCAATAAGCCACGTTATGAGAACTTACATACCGATAGTGTTTTGCATGCCTCAATTGCTTCTCGGATTCCTTCATAATAATAGCGGAATTTATAGCTACAGCAACTGATTCAATATCCCACGGGTTAACCCGTATAGCACCACTTAAAGAAGGCGAACAGCCAACAAATTCCGACACAACCAACATGCTAGTACGAAGAGCCGTTTCATCATCCGAATGAGGTGAGTTTTGCCTGCAAACAATATATTTATAGGGTACCAAATTCATTCCATCCCGAACTGCATTCACTATGCAACAATCGGCCATAGAATAATACGCCGATTTCTCATAACGAGCAACCGGTCGGTCGATCAAAACGACTGGCTGGTAATCAGGTGAACCATAAGCCTCATTGATCCTGTTCAAAATTAGATAGGTTTCCATTTTCGCTTCTTGGACATCTTTTCCGGCACTCCTCGCCGGGTTCACGATTTGGATCAAAACCAATTTATCGCGCAGAGCGGGATGCATCTGCAAGAGATATTCGAACGCCAATAGTTTAAGACTGATCCCTTTAAATATATCCATGTCATCAACCCCAACGATCAATTTCTTCCCCTTGAAACGTTCGGCGATCTCTTTCACTTTCCGCAACGTAATCGGAAGATTCAACACGGATTCAAGCCGTCCCATATGAATACCTACCGGAAGAATTTTAATATACACTGTGCGACCGAAATAATCGAGTCCAATGTGTCCTCGTTTAGATTCATAATCAAGACCCATCATTCGACTGCAGCACGACAAGAAGTGACGAGCATAATCGAACGTATGGAATCCGATTAGGTCACAGTTGAGGAGTCCTTTCAGAATCTCATCTCTCACCGGCAAAGTTCGATATATTTCCGATGAAGGAAACGGGCTATGGAGAAAGAAACCGAGTTTGACTCGATTACAACGATTCCTCAAGAACGTAGGTAGGATCATAAGATGATAATCATGAACCCAGATATAATCGTCCTCCGGGTTAGCTACTTCCATAACTTTATCGGCGAATATTTTATTTGCAGATACATACGCCTTCCAAAGAACACGATCAAACCGATCGGCATGATCTGGACACATTGGAAGCATATAATGAAAGAGTGGCCACAGTTGGTGTTTACAAAAACCACCATAAAACTTTCTATGAAGCTCATAAGGAAGAAAAGTCGGAACACAATTATATTCATCTAGAAGTTTCTGAGCAACTTCTTCTTGTTCACGAGCATCGACTTCAACCTTGAGTGAACCTATATAAACGACCTCACTTTCGGGAGAAAACCCGTCTTTTAATTGCCATAAAAGGGAATCCTCGTCAAAACTGAAGGTCAATTTTAGAGTATCGGGATCACGCTGAATATGCAAAGGTAACATATTGGCCACGATGATTTTTCTCTCTCGACAACTAGATGAGGTGCTCTCTGAATCACAGTCGTTACCATAGCTGTCTACACCAGCGATGATTCCGGGTATGGTCATCACTCGTGGAAGAGCTCGGGGAGTTTGAGGGATATCCAATAGCTTGTCAGGATCCAAATCCAAAATGTTTGCATAAGATTTTGAAGCCATGATTTGTGAAGTATATTGTTTTCAGATGATCTTACAGCGTCGATTATGGAAGACAAGAATGCCCAGGAAGTGAAACATGGTTCAGGGATCCTGCAAAACAAATAAGAACAGATAACAATGATATTAGATAGAGGTGTGAGCATTGCATTAGAAGGTTAGAACAAACAATAGGGTCAGGTTCAGGGAAAAACCGCAAATAAATGAAAAATTGAGCAACACTTTGGTAACAAACCTTCCTCTAGATAAGTATATTGTATTAGATGTAGCGTGGTCATAATTCAGGAAGTTGCATATATGATGGCCATATAATTGTGTTTATGTCATTGGGAACTAGGGACTAATTATTATTAAAATGTCATTGGAAGAGACAACATGGAACGATTATGATTTTAATGAGCTTAATGGGACTCGCAACTTATTATGTCAGCTATAAAATGACTGTTTGGTAGTGGCTTAATGATATAGAAAGTAGCTTATTCAATAAACTTCTAGAGGGGAGCTTTATACAGAAAGCCAAGATTTCCCAAACCTGCTTCTTCCAATTAAAAAGAATGCTTCTTCCATCTATAAGAAAATCCTCCCAAACAAAAACCTTCCCAATCTATACAGATAGATTAATCCACAGTTCCACACCACAACTCTATTCCATTCAGGACTTAATGGAAAACCAACCAAACAACCCTTATGATGCCTAACAATGATGATGTGTGTGACTGTATGAAATAACAATGTAGACCGACGCAAGACTAAATCTTAGATTTTATTACCATAAATATTTGGTTATATGCAAAAGGCAAGAATATTATGAAACTCCACCAGCACATGCGTAATGAATGATTACAATTCACAATAACAAATTGGAGAAGAGCATAAATTTGCCAACATGAGGTAATTCCATCTTTAGATAGCTACAGATAGAGCCTATAGTTTCTACAAGTTAATTGTTCCACTAATTTCTACCAGTATATGGATTACAAAAGCAAGCATTCCAAAAAAAATACTTAGGGGTGTGGGTTGGGTTCCAGTGAGAATGGAAGTTATCCTGAGAAGGGTGAGAAGGGATCCCCACCCCTAGATCAATCATAATTGCTGATCAACACTAATGAGATGCACCAGATCAATTTGAGAAGCCAATTCATGGGGTGGGGTGAGATTAAAAGTGATCAAGGTTCCAGATCCCTTCTTACGTGTCTCTCCTCAACTCCTATTCTCACACGATCCTTCGTCTAGGCGGTGTTTGGTTAGAGGTATTAAACAGTTATCAATGGAAATGAAAATGAAAGAAACTGTTAGGTCTTATATAATATAATAGGCTCATTCCCCAGGAGCCCAAATTTTCATTCCTTATTAGACCGAAGAGAATGAAAATTCATCCCCATTTTCATTCCCAAGTCATTTTCTTCCTCAACCTGAACCAGAGTACCAAACAACCACTTATATGCATCAAGAAGTGGTTGGGAAAGTCTCTCTTTCTATACGGGGGAATTCCTTTATTTTCAGTTACGATGCATCTATTGGATACCCCGGATGCAACCAAGGTTCATTGGAACATTTACGCCAAGCCAAGTAGGTCAAGCTGAGTCGAGTCAAAGAAGACTATAGAAAAAGATTTGTTAACTGAACGTCATGGGAGGAAACTATGTTACAGAAAACATCAAGTCATGGAGAGAAGTATATAAAAATGACGCCAAGACCCCTTTGACTTTGTAAGGGATGAGAAGAAGACTAAGGAAGCCTTTTGCAAATCGTTTGAATTCATTACTCAAACCCTGTTGAGAAAATAATTCCAATAAGAAAATGAACACCAAAAAAAATTTAATCTTTATAAAATTTATTTATATTATAGCAAAAAAGGTTAAACCTTTTTTAATACAGACCCACCAAAAACCTCAATACGTGCCAATTCACACAGATTGAATCTATCATTCGCGATAGATTCAATGAAAGAAAGGGGTAGAAGCAGAGTGTTCACTTAGTGAACGGGAAATTTAAATACAATGACCAAAGGGCCTTCGGCCTAGCGGTATCGTAGCCCTTGGCTTCCTAGGAGGTCAAGGGTTCAAACCTCACCAAAGGTGAAGAGGGTGTGTGAGTTTATTTGTTGCATTTTGCCGTATATAAATATTATATACTTCAAAAAAAATACAATGCGAAAAATTATAAAACCAACCTGTTTAAAATGTTGTCGATTCGGATGATGAACTGCACGGAAAACTTGTCCTTAAAGGTTTTATATGACCACTCTTAAGAAGTTGTGAGTCTGCTAGTCGCAAAGCCCCAGGATTTGATGCAGTAGGAAATTCGTTTGCGAACAGCAATCACAACGAATATAGAGTAGGTTTATGTAGCAAAACGGTAGAGAGAAATAGTATGTCGGGAGCAGAATTTCGTCAGAAAAGAAACAGTTTTCGTATGTGTATAATGATACGGCTTCTCCCAGTATTTATACTTGGTGAAACCCTAGATGTGGCCCACGAAAATCTCCAAAAAACGGAGATAGTGGTGAGAAAAATTCTCAACCGAAACCACTATCTCTAAAATAATAAGACTTGGTCAAAAATTTAAATTCCGGATAAATATCAGTTTAAATTCCGGATTTATCTGTAATAAATATCTTCTCCTCTCGAATTAGTACCAAAAAGATACTCGGAGGTCGGGGCGAGGCTCCTTTCGCTCCGATGCGGCGTGCGAAGTGCAAAGTGAGCCTCCTCACGCCACCGGAAACTATCGTATTCAAAAGATGAAGCTTTTGAGGCTTTTAAACTCTACAAAGCTGAAGTCGAAAATCAACTTGAAAAACGGATAAAAATACTTCGATCAGACAGAGGTGGTGAATATTTTAATAGAGAATTTGATACATTCTGTGAAGAGAATGGTATCAAACATGAACGGACCTCACCGTTTACTCCTCAACAAAATGGTTTGGCGGAACGAAAGAACCGAACCCTTGTTGAAATGGTCAATTGTATGTTGAATCAATGAGGGTTGCCTAACAATCTCTAGGGAGAAGCCCTGTTGACGGCTTGTCATATTCACAACCGAATCACTAGTCGTGTGATTCCAACCAGTCCATATGAGCTCTGGAAAGGTAGAAAACCAAATCTGAACTATCTAAAGGTTTGGGGATGTGTTGCATACTATAGAACTCCTGATCCAAAAAGATCTAAATTGGGAGCCCGTGCTATTAAGAGCATATTCGTTGGATATGCAGTAAATAGCAAGGCTTATAGATTATTGGACAAAGAGTTAGGAGTTATAGTAGAATCCAGAGATGTGGAGTTCTTTGAAKATARATTTTCAGAAGATGCTGAAAAATCAGAACCAATATTGGCCTCTAATCCCTCTTGTTCATCTCGTGCTAGTTCCAAAACCTCTATAGAGGCGGACGAACCACGAAGAAGCACAAGAGTGAGAAAAAAGAAAAATATGGGAAATGACTTTTTCTCGTACTTGGTAGAGGGGACTCAAAATAAAGTGACAAGAGACTGAAGAGAGTTCATTTTCTATATCAGTACTGAAGAGGATCCCAAAACTTTTAAAGAGGTCATAACTTCAAGGGATGCTCCAATGTGGAAAGAAGCCATAAATGATGAGATGGACTCCATTTTGGGTCTGTATTTAAAAAGGTTTAACCTTTTTCGCTATAATATAAATAAATTTTATAAAGATTAAATTTTTTTTGGTGTTCATTTTCTTATTGGAATTATTTTCTCAACAAACCTTCCTTTGAGTCGCAAACAAATAACCTTATCTATTGCTTCAAGGCTCCTAAGAAGTAAACCGAAAGAACAAGGTCGGGTGCCGTAAAAAAGCAACACATGTTAGAACCAAGACAAAAGAGCATCAATTGAGATCAAGAAGATTGGCGTTTTAGGTATGAATGACTATTGTTTAGTGAAGGAATTTAGATGTATTTAATTGCTTTATGGATGCTACGTATGGATTAAATCAGGAACATGTTGATGAAAAGTTACGTTACAGAAAAACTCTTTCTTATTCTATATTTGGATGGTAATCATGCCTGTTGTGTGCTAATTTTTTTTGGGTAGTCTGAAGTAATCATTCTCGTTTCACAAACTATAAGCAGTTAATCTAAGAAGCAAACGCTAGAAGGGACAGAAAGGGGAAAAAACAGTGACTGAGGGGGTGTTTGGGATTGCTTATCAGAAGTGCTTTTTAACTTATTTCAGTCTGGCACCGGAGATAAGCTGTTTTAGAGTGTTTGGGTAAAAAAAAAAAAAACAACTTATACCGGTGCCAAACCGGTAATAAGCAGTTTTTGATAAGTTAATTCATCGTGACTTATGAAATTAACTTGCAGCAAAAAGGTGTATTGCATTACAAAGATGATCATCTTTTATCTAATCATCACCATTTCCCTGAATGGTACCAGACAAATTACTTCCTCCTGTCCAAAAAAAACACAACGATTTGACATTCATGTCGATTGCCTTGGTATCTAATTTCAATATTCATATAATTTTTACACTTTTCAAGCACATGATGCTATATTTATTTATCACAACTGCAAATAGAATTTAAACTCGGTCTTAAATTCACAAAAAAAAGTTAGCACCGTGATTATCATCTAAAATTAGAATAAGAAACAGTTTCTCTGTAGCAAAACCTTTCATAAGTATGTTCATGACTTGATCCATAAAGCAATTGAAGACATCTAAATTCCTTCACTAAACAATAGTAATTCATACCTAAAACGCCGATCTTCTTATAAAAGCTAAAAAATCCTGCAATTTTCTGCACAATAAAATAGACTAAGAGAAAATACAGTTCATCACAAAACTAAACATCCTTTCCATAAAAACAAAGAGCATCAATCAAATTAAGAACAACACATAGATCACATAGATATTGAGATATAAAATCATCAATTCATGGCGAGCCTCACCGTGAAATGGTTAAGTACCCCGTTGATTTTGACAATGGAAGTCCGGCACGGTGGTGAACGGTGTAACGCCGGCGTTGAATGGCGGTGAGATAGAGGAATGAGAAAGAGAAATGAGAGAGAGACTGTAATAGCGTGGGGGTTAATATTGACAGAAGGAGAGAGAAGGGATAAAGTTGACATTGCACTTCACCATAGTTAACATTAAGAGTTCAACCATGGTTGAAGGATCTAGTTTAATATATGTCATATTACTAAATTACCCTTTGCTTTACCAACATATTTCCTTTATGCCATTATTGTGGTGATGAAATATTTGAGTAAATTACGTTTTTAGTCCTTATGATTTGTTGAAACTTACCATTTTGATCCCTGTACTTTTGAAACTGTGGTTTTTAGTCCTATAGTCCACGTTTCATTGTTTTTTCGTTGCTGTGATAAATAAATATTACCATGCTCAATCTCGAATAACTTTTTAACAGTAGGGCTTGAACTCGAGCTCGATACTTGTTTAGGGGCTCGAACTTGAGATCAGTTATCTCATTATTGGCTCGATCTCTATAATTTTTATATTCGATTTATGAAAATATGAACATGTTTGTCTCAAAGAAGTGTATGCACGAATGACTCAGTTCGGCTCGCTCAAGTTTTTGCACGAGCCGAATCGAACATTTGTGTTATGAAATGCGACTCGTTAAGTTAAACGAATTTTAGTATTTGTTCGACATCGACTCGAACTCGACAATTATTATGCTCGAACACGAGTGGCTCGTGAAAAGCTTGATTTGTTAAATATATATATATATAAAGTCTATAATTTGAAACAAATGGAATAAGATTTATTTTGATATTTATGTAATAAATAAATTTATCTTGTCCCCTTTTTAATGAAATTTTATTTTTTGGATAAGGTGGTCATTAAATATATAATCATTAAATGATTATTAATTAAATAATTAAGATGGGTTTAGGTTGATTAGTGAATAAAAAAGCCTAGTGATTATACATTGGCTTTGACCAAGCCTAAAACCAATAAGATAAGACACCCACTATTATTTATGAAAATAACTAGAATATCACTCGTATAATGCAACGAGATACATCTTGATTTTAATAGTTTGTTTTATTTTTATTTTTGTCTCGGTCGAAGTTATAATACGGTTTTATGTGGTTTTGAAAAAACAATAATGTTTTGATTTTCGAATAAAATATAAATATAAAAATATCATAAAAATTGATTTTTTTTATATTAGTACCTAACTAACTATTTAAAATTTCTTATTTTTTGTGTATTTCTTTAACTTGTTTTTTTATTTTTGGTTCTATAATATAATTTTTTATAAAGATAATGATTAAGTATTTTGTTACAACTCAATTATTATCCTAATTATATCTTATATTTTTTATATTTAAAATGAGATGTTTGTTCTCTATTTAACTATATTTATCTGCAATTAGCTACACGAATTCAAACATAAAACTTTAATAAGTTGTATTTACGCACAATTTACTTGTAATGTTGATTTTTAAGTAATATGCATCAATAAACAATACTCCATGCATAAAAAATATTTTCAAGAATGTTTCTCAAATGTTTGATAATGAAGATAAAATTTGGTTGACCATGTATTTTTTACACTTTTCTATACTACTTTTTTTATAGTTTATTAGTTTTTAGTGAATTATTAAGTATTATTAATAAAGTTAACCATGAATTCAACACAGATTCCGATCAAAAAGGTTTTTACACTGTTTTGCTGCATTTAATATCAACGTATTTTTTTTCTTGCAATAGTCGTTGGGAAGCATATAGTGATTATTAGAGGTTTCATGATGACGATAATTTATCGATGTTCCAGAAATAAAAAGATTAAAACCAAACTTGTTTTGTGTTATCATTATCGACTATTAGCCATCAAGCTTGCATCAAAAACACTGTTAACCTCAACCAGTATTAGAGTTTATCAAGCATGTCAAACATAAATTTCAGATTTTATTTTTCAACATTAATTTCTTAACCACAAAGGGTGTGACGTAGTGGTCGAGGTTTTGGGAGATGTGGTGGAATATCTCATTTGTCCAGAGTTCGATTCCAGACGTACACAACAATTGTAGTCATTGAGTTTATCATGGTTGATTTAGAGTTTATCAAGCATGTCAAACATAAATTTCAGATTTTATTTTTCAACATTAATTTCTTAACCACAAAGGGTGTGACGTAGTGGTCAAGGTTTTGAGAGATGTGGTGGAATATCTCATTTGTCCAGAGTTCGATTCCAGACGTACACAACAAATTGTGGTCATTGAGTTTATCAGGGCTGATTTATTACAATCACAGTTTTGCTGTCGAGATTAGTCCAGATATAGCCTGCAACAACCTTTCAAAAACAAATCCAATAATTAATTTACAACAAATTTATGACTAATGATAATAAATACATGCATTTGATTTTATAATACATTGACCTAAGATTTCAAAAGGGATAATTAGCTTAATAAATGCCAATAAATGGTTTTAATTTTATTACCCTACCAAATCTAATCTTGAGCATTAAAAGATGAGACTCTTTAACAACCAAATCCACCTCCCAACCCCATGTTTATAAAATAAAAAAGTAAATTACATAATTACCCCTAAATCAACTTTAAAAAAATTATTAATCTGAATATCCAACCCATTATGTGAGTCGACTAATCTCAGAACGACCACCCACTTCACAGATAGCCCGGAGTCACCGTATTCAAACATTCATGGCCACAAAGGGATTTTTATTTCGCATTGGATTTAAACCTGAAACCTTCAATCATTTTCGACTTTTGGAGGTCAAACTCAAACCAATCGGGTACCACATTTGTGGGTAAAAAAAATACAACAATTCATTATTATGAAAAGCATTCTTATTTCAAACAAGGTTTCATTAAATTTTGTTTCTCAAATACGAACAATTATTGTAATCTATATTATATTATAAAGCATTTGATAAAAAAAAACTTTTGAAAATTATTTTTTATGTATAAATTATTGTTTATTGAATCGTATTACTTAAAATTCAAAATTACAAGTAAATTGTGCGTAAGTACAACTTATTAAAACTTCATTTTGAATTTGTATAACCAACTACAATATAGAATAAATATCTCATTTTAAATATAAAAAATCTAAAATATAACTATAATAATCATTGACATTTAAGGGAATACTTAATTATTATCTTTATAAAAAAATTATATTATTGAACCGGAAACTATAAATTATAATAGAAAATTAAAGAGATTAAACAAAAAAAAAAAATTTAAATAGTTAATTTAATTCTAATATCAATATCTTTTTTTCAAGTTTTTATAGATCTTCAAATTTATATTTTATTCAAACATAAAAACATTATCATTTTCTCAAAACCATATAAAACTGTATTATAACATTGATAAAGACAGAATAAAAAAATATTAAAATCGAGATGTATTTCATTACATTGCATTAGTACTCTTCTAGTATATTTTAATATTTTCTTTTGTATTTTAACATATGTAATAAATAATTTATAAAAAAATAAGTAAAAAAATATTTTATTATTTAAAGAAAATGGAAAATAAAATGACAGCCAGATAATGGATGGATGCTGTTTCTCCCCCACAATGCGTGTGAACACTAACCCATTTTTTCCTTGGGTCGATAATTTAATGCTCCCGATAAATAAAACTATAAATTAACTTTAGAGTAAATTAAAATATTACATAATTAACCCTCAAGTATTTTTCTTGAACCTTTCTTTTCCCCCATCTATCAATTGTTTACAATTTACTACCCTGTATTTGTACTTGTCATGTCATATAAAATAAAGTCTTGTAGCTATTTATTTAACATAATTATAACCATAAGAAGTTTTAAAATAATTGTATAAATGTCAATTATCAACTACAAAGTTTCTCTTTTCTTCTTACCAAAGGGTCTTTGGCCAAACGGTATCATAATCTTTGACCTTGTAAGAGGTCAGGGGTTCAAGCCTCAACAAAAATGAGAAGGGTGTGTGAGTTTATTTGTTGCATTTTTTTGTATTTATGGTCATGACGACGTATCAAAATTTAAGATCATGTAAAAAAATCATAGACATATGATCTCATCACAAGAGAAGACACAAAACATTCATACAAATAAAACAGTTGAAATACGTGTTCAAATCTGAAAAATTAAATTAATGGCATGGTCTTACATGACATACCCTAAACTTACTTTATAATAACACGAGTTTCTGCTTTTTATACTGAATAGCAGTGTATATCAACGACACTCAGTTTTAAATAATATAGGCAATGATGTAGAGTCATGCACTGGATCTTGTTATGAACTATGTTTATGTATGTTGAATCATGCCAATAATTAATATGCAAACATTTAATTCAGTTCTCTGAACATTCCAAGCCATCAACAACAAGGGTTATCATCATAAATAATAACCCGGGGAAATTTTTTAATTTTTTACTGATCTCCAAATTTTTTCTTACAAAAATAGCCAAGAAACAGCAGGTCAAAGCTGCACTTTTCCTCACGCTTTTGACATTTTATGACGCACCCAAATGAAAAATGAGCCAACTGCAAAAGTATTTTGAGACACCGCAACTCCACAAGGACATGCATCGATGCACACCAAAAAAAGAGGCAAAGCTGCAGCGTGCGGCACCGGAAGAAACAATGTCTTGCAGCGTTGACTTCATGAGATGACCATTAAAGATAATAACCCTCAACAAAATACATGGAGATGTTAATAAACTTTTACATAAATACTAAGGACCGTTTACCCAAATGCTTACCCGGTAAGCGCTAACCAATAGGAGTCAACACTATAATTTATTTAGATGCGTAAGATTTTAGTACATCAAAGCACATCGAATGCAACAATTTACTAGGTAAGCGCTTACCTGGGTAAGAGTCAGTCATCTTCACTTACCGGGTAAGACTCTCCATCCTTCTCGTCGCTCTTACCCAGTAAGATTATTGTCTCTTCTCATGTTCATCCGATGAGAAAATTTATGCGAGATAAGTGTTTAGTAAACGGCCCATAAGTCACCGAAATTACGTCATAATCTTAGGAAAAAATACGTCATACCAGTTGGCAAATTG